CATGTGAAACACTCCCGGGACCGACCTTACTCGTACCGTGCTTGTTAGCCTCGGAACTGATCATTATGAAATAGCACATAACAGGCACGAGATAGTCTTAACAGGCACGAGACTGACTCAACAGGCACGAGATTGTCTCAACAGGCACGAGACTGACTCAACAGGCACGAGATTAACTCAACAGGCACGAGATCCTAGAGTTAATTATTTATTTGAATTTTAAATTCAAAATTCGAATAAATAGTCGTGTCTGTTTGTGAAACAAGACATCTTTTCTGAAAGGGTCTATTGGTTGCCTATAAATACACAAGAATTCCAACGAAGTGGATATAGAAAATCACAAGTGTTACTGCAGGCTTTGTTGTATCCTGAAGAGAATCGTTTTGTATTTTCCCTAAATTAGTATACAGGCGATAACTCTTTAAGGACAATCGATTTTCACGCCTCAAAGCTAATTTTGATTATTATTTTCTAACAGTATTTTCAGATCGTCCTGAAATTTACCCAACATGATAGTACAAACACCTATCAACAATGCCTTTCAGGTAAAGAAATAATCGCTAGGTTCTTAAAGAGTTGCCTCAGCTCTTTAAAGAAACACCTATTACATGTTTGTTTTACAGACCGGATATAGTAGGACAACATATTCTGGAGCAAGTCATCTTCAAACAAAGCTTCATCCTATATTTGGTTAGTGTAGGATAAAGAGTTGCCTCAGCTCATTATCCAGTTAATAATCCTCCTATCAACAGTCTGCCATATGTTCCATTTTCCTGATAAATAAGCAATGTTTCACCAAAATGCACATAAATAACACTCCCTAGATCCCATTTTAATTCACCAAAAGGCACAAAAATAGCACTCATTACATCCCATTTTATGTGAAAGTGTTTGACCAGAGTTGGAGTTTAAGAAATTAAAGAAACTTTTGACATGTAGAATAAATATATGCAAAGTACCAAAATCACCCTTTTAAATGAGTGGTTGTGAGATTTCACATGTATTTTCATAGTGTCACATATTACATTTTATGTGACTTGCCAAAGATGAGATGAGGAGGACTCCTTTAAATTTGGTCGGTGTTAGCTTGACACAAAAGTGACTTATATAAAGCATAAATAAAGGCCTATAGATAGCTATCAAAATTACCCCGAACTGGTCGACCAAATCTGGACAATTACAAAGCTGCCTGGTGTTGACTCTAAAGCTGGGCATCTGAGTTTTGTCAAGCCCCGAGAGCACCCTTTACTTCCAGTAGCAAGTCCTGTATCGTTAGGAAGATATCAGCTTTTAAGATAGGCGGCTACTCCCCTCCAAATTTAGCCAAGGCATCAACAACAATATTCCCTTCCCTGTAGCAATGTTGTACTGTGATCTGCTGCTGCTGCTGTATGATTTTTCTCATCTTCAAAATATCCTCCTCAAGCTCCCAGGAAGGTGATGAAACTCCAGTTAGCATGTTCACAAATAGGAGAGAGTCCATCTCAAGAATGACATGACGAACTCCCTGCGCATTGAGCACCAGAAAAGACCGAAAAAAGCAGCTTCATATTCTGCAAAATTATTAGTGCAGAACTGGAGTGATTTAGCAAATGCCATGCTCAAATCCCCATTTTTGCCCTAGCAATCTCTCCAACACCTTCAGATTTCAAAAATGAGGATTTTGAGATGGATGTGTGGGCATACTAGGAGAGACAAGAGCAGTAATGAGGTTATTCGGGACAATGTGGGGGTGGGCCAGTGGAAGATAAGCTGCGGAAGAGAGACTGAGATGGTATGAGCATGTGAAAAGGAGATGCCCCGTAGGATGGCAGAAATATACTAGTGGGAGGTTGACAGTAGTATCATCTTATAAAAATCTGAATCGGGTAGGATTTCAACTCAGCCTATGGCCTTGGAAGCATACCTGGAAAGTCAAAATACCATATAAAGTGGCATGCTTTACTTGGTTGGTGGCTAAAGAAGCAGTACTCACTCAAGAAAACCTCATGAAAAGAGGGTTATCAATTTGTTCTAGATGTTATTTGTGCGGCCAAGATGCAGAGACAATTAGCCATTTGTTTCTACATTGTAGAGTGACAAGACAGCTGTGGGAGTTGTTCATTAACAACAGGGGTATCCGATGGACAATGCCAGGAAGAACGTATGAACTTTTGTCTAGCTGGAACAAGGGGGGAGCTCTACATCTAACAAAGATAGATGGAAAATTGTCCCAGCAACCATTTGGTAGACAATTTGAAAGGAGAGGAATACAAGGTGTTTTGAAGATATAAGTAGCCCCGTATAGAAAATCAAAATGAATTGCATTTTTCTTATTAGTTTTGGGTGTAAAACAGAATATATAGATGACCAGGATTCAATCATAGAAGTCTTAGGCTCCTTGTAAGAAGAACAAGGAAGTTTAATTTTTGTTTTTGTCCTA